TACCATGTTCCAAACTTTGGACAAGGGTGTTCGAGAATTTATTTTGGATACATGATTTTGCCAAGATTGGCGTTTAGTTTGTTTAAAGGTACGCCACGCTTTAGCATTTAAACATTTTAATTTGTTTAAATTATGCACCATAGGGTGGCAACGGAAATACGTTCTGCTTTTTTCCTTGCCTTCCTAGCTTGTTTGCACTCATCGTTGAACCAAGATTTTCGAATATGTGGAATTGCATAGGATTTTGGTATGCACTCATCAGCTATGATATTCAGTTCATCGGCAAAACATTCGATAGCATCAGGAACGTCAATAAAATGTTTAGGTTTACGTTTTGTAGCACACAGTGTTTCATATAAAGCCCGGTTAGCCTATTTAAAATTCCGCCTTGATGATGTAGGTACACAGATGGAGTTACAGGTTTTAGTATAGTAGGAAAATGGTCACTTCCACAGAGGTCGTCGTGGACTGACCATTCAAGTTCATTTAATAGTTCTGAATGTGTGACTGACAAGTCGAGAGCAGAATAGGCTCCTGTACCAGGGTGTAAATATGTGTTGAAACCAATCATTATAAAGACATAAATCATTATCTGAACAAAACTCCTCCAGTAATTTTATCTTTAGCGTTTGTAGTTGTACTACCCCAGAGTGGGTTGTGCCCATTTAAATCTCCCATAATAATACAGGGCTTCGGGAGTTGGTCATATAGAGCTTGAAAATCGGTTTTGTGAAACGTTGAAGACGGAGATATATAGAGAGAGCATAATGTAAACGCAACGTTAATCAGCCTGAAGATTAGTAGTTAAATCGACAGGGCTATGGATAAGGTTCTGTTTGACTAGGATGGAAGATCATCCAGTGGACCTGTCACCCGAAGGTGAAAAACAATGATATGCATTGAAAGAACGTAGGACAAAAACATCTGTCTGTTTTAAATAGGTCTCCTGCAGACAGAATGCTGATGGTGTTAAATCCTGGACTTAAAGTTGTAATTCATTGAAATTAGTCCTCAGTCCTCTACAATTCCACTGTATAATATGATTGTGATAAACTATCTTTTGGGAGGATTTATTGGGGATCTTCCCCGAACCTTTTTGATGGGCGACAAACTGTACGCCCTAGAACGGACAGTTGAGTTTCCTCAAGGGATCCATATTTGTTGTATAAGTTGATTTGATTTTCTGACCCTTTTGGGGCTCTGCCACTGAGTTTTTTCAAAGAATCTTGCTTCTTACCTTTGCCTTTTAGGGGCTGTGTAGACTGTGATATCAACTGAGATGATGCATCAAGATCAGAGGATGTTTCACATTAGCTTTGAGACGTACTAGGAACTGATTCTGTTGTTTGGGTAGATATTGCAGGTGAGAATATCAGAGGAGATTCAGATTTAACCAAGGTCAAGTTTGTCTGACAGCATGCAGATGATTTTGTTATTCTAGTTGTTGCTTCCGACGGTGATCTGGTGATAGAAGCATAGCTCTCGTTTTGCTCTGAGCTTAGAACTAGTTTTTTGGCATCTGCAAAACTAATGTTTTGGGTGAATTGTATTTTATTTATCTCCATTTGATGTTTCCAAACAGGACAGCTTTTAGAGTTAGAGGAATGATCCCCTGCACAGTTTGTACATTTTGTGACATTACTTTCACAGTCTTTTGTTGTATGTGTCTTCTCACAACAGTGAGCACATACAACAGACAATGTGCAAGTATTGACGCCATGACCGAACGTTTGGCATTTGAAATACCCTAGAGGGTTCGGAATGTACGTTTCTACATTGATGTTACAATAACCTGCTTTAAGAGATTTTGGAGCATTTGGTGAAGAAAATGAAAACAGGTAGGTATTGTTTTTTAGAACAGCATCACAGAGTATGCCTTGATCTTTCATCTCAGAGACAATGTCAAGTTCTGACATATCTGCAAACAATCGATCACGGTCTCTGATGATTGCTGTGCTTGTGTTTAATGTTTTATGAGCTGTGACTGTGACTGGAACGCCGACAAACGATTCTGTACTCATAAGGTTGGTGGCTTGTTGCCGATTTCCACACTCAACCAGCAGAGCACCGGAAGGTAAACGGTTAATATTTTTGACTTCACCGGCAATGCCTTGAATACCCTTAGATATGGCAAAAGGGTTCAAATTTAATGGTGTCTTGTCAACAATTTCAATTACAAGAAATCGTGGCCAGTATTCAATGGACGTGGACAGTCGTTGATCATTATCAACTGGATCAGTGTCCAGTGAACGTTTGGTTTTTTTCAAGGGGGTTTCGTAAGCCATGGTTAAGTTTTCAAGGTTCGTCATCCGAGCTTCCCACCCACCACGGAGTATCACAAGTACAATGCTAAAAACAAGCGGATCTCCGACTTGCAGCACCAAGGATACCCGGATGATATACACCAGCAGAAAAATTAAAAGTTTTAATGATTCCACCAGATTGGCCCATGAGCCACTGCCTTCTGGGCATACGACTCTAGGCAAAAAACATACATGAAATTGTGTACTTAAAATTCTCAGTTCAAAATTTGCCAAGACTTAAATATATCATCTAATACTTTTCAAATTTTGTGCAACATTATATAGTTATAGCACAGGGCTTGGCGTGACCAGCCGATTGATAGAACCGGGCCAGTTCTACCACCCGTCTAGGTGAAGTGAGGGGCGAAGTGGTGTGTTGGGCAAAGGAACGCCCTCAACCACCAGACTCCCGTCCTCCACCGACACAGGGGCGCAACCCACGGCAAACAGGTTGGTGGACCAAATATACCCCCGGGTCCACAACGGGGGGTTGAAGAGCGCTTAGCGTTACCCAGCACCCATCACGAGGTGGTGTCTCTTCACGGGTTCCAATTAAATTTGTTAGTTGATTTGTAAATAGATAAATATTTTATGATTGGAAGATTAAATTAGTAACTGAGATTATTGATGGCTGTATCCTCAAAGGAGGTTAAAGTACCATAAAATTCTGTACAGTACTGTAAGTCTACAAACATTCAAAGTAAATTCAAACTCTCCATTATTTTTACTCGAAGAATATGTGGGTTTTTTAGTGTATGGCTAGATGTGTCTACATTGCTAAAGTCTGAAGGGATGGTGTAAATCCAGCTAGGGTCCATGCAGGAAGCTAATGTACTGTAAGTCCCCATGGTCCCTAGTATGGTGATCTACCTTCAGTCGTTGGCAATCTATAGCCTCTATCTATATTGTATTGTCATTATAGTTGAAATATTTTAGATTTGATTACTAGTTTTAAATGAAGGTCTGTGATACAGTAGTAGTTTTACTGTTCTTCGTCAACAGGCTTTTAATTTCAAACTTTATTGATCTTTGATATAATTATAAATTGTTCTCGTCACAATATGATTGAAATATTGCCGATGTGACGATAAATATTAACTCACTCAATTGACATTTTCTGACATATGTCCAGATGACATTATAAAAGTATTGTAAGTCCCCATGGTCTCTAGTGTCGTAGTATAACTTCAGTTGTTGATGATCACTAGTCCGGTGTATATTGTATTGTCCTAATTTTAATGTTATATACTAGCTAGTTTTACTTTTATATGTGTTCTTCTAGTTAGTTTACCGTCCTTACCTGACAGATTTTATAATGAAACATATTTCTTACCAATGAATAACTTGTTTAGTCAGGATATGGCTGACATATTGCCGATGTGACTAAAAGCACTCTCTCATTCACTCTGATAACATTAGAGTGAGCGAGTTAGTTAAAATTTTAAGTCGCATCGGCAATACTTCAGCCATATCGCGACTAAAAACAAGTTTGATTTTATAATATATATGAGCAAATTATAAAAAGCCTGTCAACGAAGGGCAGTAAAACAACTACAATATCACAGTTATGAATATAAAACTTGTATGTAAATCTGAAATTGTTAAATTACAGAAGACAATACAATATAAAAAGCAGGCTTTAGATTATGAAACCATGGGGACCTTGCTTCCTGCATGGCCCCCAGCTGGATTTACACCATCCCTTCAGCTGTCAACAATTTACACAAATCTAGCCACACATTAAAAGAACATATATTCTGCGATTAAAAAGACTGGATAGATTAAATTGACTTTGAATGTATTTGGATAACATTGCTAAATATTGTGATAGTTATGGTATTTCACACTTGGTATATTATATGAAGGATTTAGGAGCAGTTACGTTTGTTTGGGGGAATTAGTGATAATGGAATGTAGTCACGTTTCGAACATGGTCGGAATTATAAATTAGTTTATAGGGAAACAAAGCGTTTTAGAAAAGTGACACTAACTGGTACACAGCTAAATCACGTTGGGTCAAATGCCGGGGGACACATGGGCAAACACAAATTTCCTTGCAGGGTTGACTGAAATTTGGAGTCAATGATTTTGAACCGAAGCTTCTGAATGAGGACTTTCTTGTGATCGACGGTGGTGACATTTAACAGGAATTCCATATACTATACTCGTATAAGTTGTTTTCTCAGACAAATAATGTCATCTGATTGACAATGCGGTAGTGCCTTTATTTTTACATCTTTAGGCGGGATACATTATTATCTATGGACCCTTAGAATGGTGATTTGCTGGCGATCTATAGCCATTTTGAGTAGTGTATTGTCGTAAATACTTTTATAATTTTAAAGTACATGTTAGGGTTAGTTTACTTCAATCTGTGATATTCTGTGTGTTTTACTTTTATTAAGTGTATTTATTTGTCAATGTATAACGATATGGGGGAAATATTGCCGATGTGACTACAAATCGTAACTCACTCACTCACACTAAATAATGATGACATTGCCTAAGAAACGCACATGTTGTCTTTACTATTCTGGAAAAAGCATGTGGATATCTATGATTTACATTTCATGCTGAAAATGGCTGTAAAGCGCCTGTTGCTTGTGAACCCTTCTGAATAATGGATATTTACTGTATAATATATATCCATTTCAGCATAATACATAATATATTTGGTACATTGGTGTGAATACCTACCTGTATTCGTCACAGTGCAGGATGGAGGCTGTACCATATTCCCTGTATCCATTAGTTGGCCTGATAACTAGTCTGGATCTACCATTGTACCAACCACCAATCAAATATTCAACGAGCTCTGCACCGGTGGTGTCTAGGAGGCTGAGTCCATGGTCCTGGCATGCCTTCACCTCGTACACAATACTTGTACATTCTTCAGCATCAACTCCTAAAGTGGTCAAGTCTTGGATCACTTTATTGGCTCCATTTGTGTAAACTTCCATAGGAACACCTTCAATAAAATGTGTGATTTTAATGTCAAAATGATTATAATACCAACAGTCTGAAACAGTAACATGAATCGACAGCTTCAAGTAGTGGAATTTATATCATTAGCTGCCAAATCCTTTACTGGATAAATAAGAGGGAAAGATGTAATGGTGAACATGACGACGTCAAATATTGTGATAAGGTTACAATCCCTTTATTAGATAAACAGCGGTAGCTCACTTGTTACGGATAATGTTCTAATAGTTCCAATCTAAATTTGATATCTATGTCATCCTCATTATGTAGAGACGTTGTTCACACATATGCTGGGTTTGGCCTGTAAATCACAATACGAGATAACAGAACTAGTTTGTCTTATACATCGCTTGGAGGTATGTAGGAGGATGGTTCCGTGAAGATCCGGGTTAGAGTTGGTCTTCAGCAACCGATGCATCTTGTAAGAAGTGACTAATGGGATCCGGTGGGCAGACTCGCTGACACGTCATCGTATCGATCAATGCTCATGCTATTGATCAGTGGAACTTCTGATCCAGAGTCGATAATTTACAGAATGCCCCCAAATAGCATTAATATTGTTGATTGCGACGTCAAAGAACAAATAAGTAACTTTAATTTCAAAGTAAAATGAAACCTATTAACTGGCATGTAAAGATGATCAAACACTTGTCGTGGTGTTGTCAACGCGCACATCGACAGGGAATTAGCTCAGCGGAGGTACAAGGGCAACATTGACCACATTGAGGCAACATCACCATCTACCCCAGGGAAGTAACGCTACTGGAGGATGTTCTGTTATGGTGATGCAGAGTGTTCTTCACAACCCTGTTCCTCTTCATGTAGTTGCAGCACGTGAAACATTATGTGCTGCGTTCACATTACTTTCTCTTCGACAGTCTCATATATTTAGACACTTCATGACCAACTCCCAAAGACCTGATAGTAATGGGAGATTGGAATGGTGATAATCCACTTTGGGGTAGTACCGACACCAATACAAAAGGAAAATTACTTGAGGACTTTATGCATGTTTAATGATGCTTCTACGACTTATTTACTTTCTGCAACTGGAACTTATTAGTAGATCTGTCAGTTAGAGATTCTAATTTACTAATTAAATTTGAATGGTCTGTCCATAGCGTGCTCGATCGTAGTGACCAATTTCCAACCGTATTAAAATCCGTTCCAACCTTATTAAAATCCGTTACACCATCTGATGTTTCGCCGTGATCAAGATGGAATTTTTCTAAAGCTGACTGAGCAGGCTAGGAATTTCTTTGTTCTAAACCCCTAACCTCTGATGTTTTTTATTGATATTCCCGGCTCTTCTCCGACGAGCTTCACAAAATTATTACAATTTACGTCAATTTTTATTACAATTTGCGTATTATAATTTACGTCAATTTTTATTACAATTTACGTTTTTATTACAATTTACGTCAAGTTTATTACAATTTGCTGCAAGTATTACAATTTGCGTTTTTATTACAATTTACGTCGTAACAGCGGTTAAAGTAGTGTAAATTATTGTCCCCGTGAGAGTGTACGTAAGTTCCAAAACGTTCAAAGTATATTCAATCCTACCATTTTTTTATTCGTAGAATATGTGTGCTTTTAATGTAGGGCTATGTTACGACGTAAATTGTAATAAAAACGCAAATTGTAATACTTGCAGCAAATTGTAATAAACTTGACGTAAATTGTAATAAAAACGTAAATTGTAATAAAAATTGACGTAAATTGTAATACGCAAATTGTAATAAAAATTGACGTAAATTGTAATACTTTTCGTTGCGGTAAAATGTAATAAATATTTACGTAAATTGTAATAACAGTTTTAATCACTCGTAAATACGCGGGTGTTTGTTTTTTGTTGCATTTCATACATCAAAAAAGCTTGTTAGGGCGATAACTCAAGAAAGAAATGATGGATTTTGTTCAAATTTGGTAGCAAGGTATATTGGCGAGATTCACCGACACAAGTGAAATGGAGTGACCTGGAGATAATTTCAAGGTCACAGCAAAAATCTGAGGGTTTTGCCAATATAAAGATTGTTAGCGCGATAACCCAAGAATGAATTGACAAATCTTAGCTAAATGACAAAAATGATAGTCGTCCTGATATATAATCGATATAAACTGTCCTCTGTATCATGTCTTTTCGCAAATATCTTTTGAGGTTTTGATATGTATACATATAAAGTGGGGGTGGGTTTCTCACGGGTATATCTAACACACTTGCATGCATGTGGAGTCGGAGAGGTGGGGGGGTGTTCTAACGGGTATAACTACGAGGGGCGTTCAAATAGTAGTCAGCCTCACCTAGAATATGATACAAATGCAGCTGTTTTTATGTTTTATTTTTCTACATAGTATCTGTCAGCCTCAAGCAAATTGGTTTTGCTATGTTGCAGCCTCACGATCCCATTTTGTAAGACTTTGTATCTTGGCTTGGTACTCCCAAAAAACGTAAAATCTGCAATAAACTGCATCACAAACTTCAGGAAACAAAATATGCTATGTTTGAGATTGGTAGAAGTCGTCTAGAATCAAACTTAGGTATTAAACTGCACAAAAAAGCAATTTGAAACTACAATCGCTTGTTCAAATGACTCCCCATTCTGTTTACTGAAAGAACTCGAGAAAGAAATGATGGATTTTGTTCAAATTTGGTACCAAGGTTTATTGATTGGAGATTGGAGATTTACCGACACCACTTGAATTTTGTGACCTTGAGGTCATTTTAAAGGTCATAGCGAAGGTGTAACAGTTTTGCACATGCCAAGCTTGGTAGCCGCGAACTCAGGAAAGTATTAATAGATTTTGATCCAATTTTATATCAAGGTGTATTGGCGGGATTCCCCCAACACCAATTGATTGGGAAACTTGTGCTCATTTTAAGTTCACAGTGAAAAGTGTTTTGCACATGTCTAACTTTTGCTTAAAGGTAGTACCAAGATGCGTTGGGAGTATCGTCTAACGCCAGTCGAATTCAGTGACCTTCGGATTATTTTCAAGGTCAAAGCGAGTATTCTTGAATATCTCCAAACCTAATGGATGGAATTTGTTCGCATTTTGTATCAAGGCATCAGATGACAGTTTCGGTAACGTTTACATAATTTTCAGGGTCAGACAGAGGATAATTGCTACATTCAGATATCGACATGTGGCGGAGGTAATAGCTATATGTTTGTGACAAACGCTTTGTCATTACTAATTTTCAATTTTTGTTAGCATATGGTTTCTATAATTTCATGTTAATTCTACCAGCTGTGAAATTATTCGTGACACGTCTTAAAAAAGCCAGAGATTATTTGTGTATGTTTCGAAAATTAAAGTTAATTGTTTTTCATTATGGAGTTATTTTCGATGTTGACGCAAGGACATATTTTACGAGCAATAGCTTTCAATAATTTTATTTTATTTCTATTACATTTTGAAGTTCTTCATAGCATATCCCAAAATAACGGGATATTATTTGTTTACGCTTTGAAATGTACGTTTCTTTTTCTTTATTTTCGAATTATTTTCAATGTTGACGCAATGACATATTTGAAGTTAATTTAATGTTTTAATCATATGTGATTTATTATGATTTATGTTTCGATCATACATTCATATATTGCGTTGTCATAGTTTAACCTGGTTCGTATTATTTTCTTCATCATATCACTACATATTATTGTATTTTTATGAGAGGAATTTTAAGTTACATTTGCTAAGGATATCATAAATCGCTGGCGCCTGGTTAGTTATTCCTTGCCACATAGCAGTCAATCTGTCTCCTCATTTGTTGTATTTGATTGATGCATTTAAAATAAAATGTAGAAATGATATTGAATTGCATCATTTGCTTCAAGGAATCGATCAGATGTGCTCGTTATCAAAGTAAAGTCAAAACTTCTTTCTGTAAGGTATACAGTGGAAGTTGACACCTTAATTGTTATGGGTAGACCAAAGAAATCATTTATTTAGTTTCACCGCTCAAAATACAACAAAGAATTCAACGGGTGGCATTAACCTCAAAGAATGATAATAACAATGCTTATAACATACGAGGGCAAATTTATCGGGGATAATTTGTTTTCATGCGATATGCACCGGGTAAAATATCACTTTGTCATGGTGACATGACATCATGAACAATATTATGACGTCACGTTGCTTCTAAGAAGCCGCCTTCTAAATACAACGATGACGGGGAGCCTGCCTTTGTTGGAAAGTAGATTATCGCGTAATTTCCGCAATTAAAGACTTCGTTAATAAATAGAAAATTATATTCGTGACCATAATATGCTAGGTTAACGAGCTAAATATCGGCATATCCCTTCTCTGATTTCGAAAATACCAAGATTTAGGCAGTTGTGTTGTAAACTGATATTTATCTTCTATAAAGTCGGCTATATTCAAACCATGAGATGACAGTTACCAACGTCCGAATAGTGTCCATATATTTTAGAAATCTATAACAATAAAGCACAACCTCACTACTTTTTTTGATAAATGACAAAGGATTAATCAACCATATTAAAAGGTTTCCAGGGTTGAAGGACGAAGCTCATTAAAATCTATTGCCAGCTCTCTTTTAGGGACTGATAAAAGGTTCGAAAATGTGGGTCATAAATGCATGAAAGTTTTTATTGTTGTTCATACCCGTTAGGCCTCCCGCCTCTACATGTATTTGAGATATAACCGTTAGAACCACCCCACCCCCTCTATGTCTTAAAGTATGCTAGATATACCGTTAGAACACACCACACCACTTTTCTGCCCATTTATTCAATTGGGCTCAATCATAGTTGAGAGTTGCTTCTATGGATTTTACATATTTTCCCGCAACACCGATTGATGTGTCATCGGCCAACATTATTTAGATATTTTGTAAATTTCCAGGTAAATCATTGATATATACAAGGAACACAAATCAACCAAGGGTAGATCCTTGAGGAACCCCTGCAGTAACATTTAGTTTTTCATAATGTTCCATTAATAGAGA